TCAATTCCTCTGAGAATTTTATAGGTAGTGATCATGTCTCCCCTAACTCTTCTGTCTTCCAGTGTCGTGAGGTTTAGTTCCAGTAATCTTTCCTCGTAGCTCATACCCCTCAGCTCGGGGACTAGCCTGGTGGCATACCTCTGAACCTTTTCTAACTTCGTTTTGTGTTTGACTAGATGTGGACTCCAGGGTGGAGCTGCATATGCCAGTATTGGTCTGACATATGTGGTATACAAGGTTCTGAATGATTCCTTATCTACTTGAGAATGGTCCAGGACGGACCGAAACGTCGTCGTCCCTTCACCTTCTAGTGTGTGGTCTGGTCAACACATCAACAATCCCCTACACCCATGAACACCCTCTTACACCTCTATTTTTTAACTTCTCAATCTTTTCTTCTGAAGCTCAGATCAGTTTTACATCCTAGACACCACCATACCCTCCCCCACCACTCTCTTACTTCCCCACCATCTCCCCACCATCTCCCCACCACCCTCTTCCTCCCCACCACCCTCTTCCTCCCCACCACTCTCTTCCTCCCCGCCTCCGTCTTGTCCATCTTATCTTCTCGTGTTTAGCTGTTCCTGCCTCCGACGAGGTTACCAATAGTTTCCTGCGACAACTTCTACCATTCCCTCTCCCCTCTCTCTCTCCTCTCCCCTCTCCCTCTCCCCTCTCCCTCACCTCTCTCCCTCACCTCTCTCCCTCAGCTCTCTCCTCGCCCCTTCCAAGACACTTACCGTTCTTATAGCGACAAGTAGTGTGTGCGGGCGGCCGTGGAGGCAGCTCGGGGCGCTTGTTAGGGGCGGCGTGGAGGGCGTCGCTCACGACACACTCCTCACACTTCCTCCTCGAGGCCCTCACGCCGCACAAGAGGAGAGTGCGTATTGAATTCCCCCAAAGCAAGATTCTTTTTTCATGTATCTTCCTCAGCGATTCATTTTACTGTTTAGTTCATGATTTAGTTTAGTTTAGTTCATGAGGAAGCCGGTCGGCCGAGCGGACAGCACGCTTGACTTGTGATCCTGTGGTCCTGGGTTCGATCCCAGGCGCCGGCGAGAAACAATGGGCAGAGTTTCTTTCACCTAGCAGTAAAATAGGTACCTGGGTGTTAGTCAGCTGTCACGGGCTGCTTCTTGGGGGTGGAGGCCTGGTCGAGGACCGGGCCGCGGGGACACTAAAGCCCCGAAATCATCTCAAGATAACCTCAAGAAGATGATGTTTTTATTTTTGTGTAAGAAGGGAGGAAGTTTGTGGGTGTTTACGGTGGTGAGTTATGCAGCGGCGGCGGCCTGAGTTACGGCGGGGGACAGCTGCTCCAGGCCACACACCGGCGACACTTTTTGCCTCGACTTCCTTTTGGACACGAACACCAACAGTTCGAGCGGGTGGAAGGACTCTCGACCGTTCTCCCTGCCGCACCAAGGTCGGATATTCCTAATTGCCGAGCTGACGTGCAGGTAAACACTCGGTGGATATTTTGTGTCTCTTTTAGTCGCACACGGGTCGTGGAATGAGACATCTCCAGGAAATAATTTGTTCTTCAAGGTGCTCTCTCTCTCTGTGGTCGTGGTTCGCAGCTCTTGTGTGTGTGTGGGGGAGAGAGAGGGCTCTCCGGTGCTCTAGGAGGGGGGATACAAGAGCACAATTACAGAGTTCAAGAGTACTCTAAGATACGAGCCTTCAGTACATTGAGTTGGATAATTTTTGTGTGTGAAAGTTTGTTAGTGGATGGTTAGCCGTTATTGAGAGCGGTAGTACCCAGGCCGAGCCCTCAGGCGGTGCTCGTCCAAGCTCCTCGCCCCGAAGACGCACTCTTACATTTTAACAAGTTCTCTACAAATTGTTTTCATTCATATATATATTACTTTTATTAGACACTAAAATTGTGTGTATAGTTTGGCCGAGGTTAGCTTAGGTGCTTAGGCTCTGTTTGGCCGAGGTTAGCTTAGGTGTTTAGGTTCTGTTTGGCCGAGGTTAGCTTAGGTGTTTAGGTTCTGTTTGGCCGAGGTTAGGTGCTTAGGTTCTGTTTGGCAATTTTTTGTATTTGTAGTTCTAGGAAACATCATATGTGGAGGAGCGACTCGAACACAGGAAGGGACCAAGATGCTGTCCCAGAAAAGTTCGAAGATAAAGAGTTGTGAGCCACGTGTAACTGTCCATAAAAATAATGGACCAGTCCTTGTTAAACCAGCCCCAGTTTATAATGAAAATAACTTTTCATACATCTCAGACCGTGCTAATTTTGTTTCGAACGGTGATTCGCTCACATCCTCTGGGTGAACCACATTTCTCTAGATACAGCCCCGTTCTCATCAACACTAGACCGTCCTCATCAACACTAGACCGTCCTCATCAACACTAGACCGTTCTCATCAACACTAGACCGTCCTCATCAACACTAGACCGTTCTCATCAACACTACACCGTCCTCATCAACACTAGACCGTTCTCATCAACACTAGACCGTCCTCATCAACACTAGACCGTTCTCATCAACACTAGACCGTCCTCATCAACACTAGACCGTTCTCATCAACACTAGACCGTCCTCATCAACACTAGACCGTTCTCATCAACACTAGACCGTCCTCATCAACACTAGACCGTTCTCATCAACACTAGACCGTTCTCATCAACACTAGACCGTTCTCATCAACACTAGACCGTCCTCATCAACACTAGACCGTTCTCATCAACACTAGACCGTTCTCATCAACACTAGACCGTCCTCATCAACACTAGACCGTTCTCATCAACACTAGACCGTTCTCATCAACACCAGACCGTCCTCATCAACACTAGACCGTTCTCATCAACACTAGACCGTTCTCATCAACACTAGACCGTTCTCATCAACACTAGACCGTTCTCATCAACACTAGACCGTCCTCATCAACACTAGACCGTCCTCATCAACACTAGACCGTTCTCATCAACACCAGACCGTCCTCATCAACACTAGACCGTTCTCATCAACACCAGACCGTTCTCATCAACACCAGACCGTCCTCATCAACACTAGACCGTTCTCATCAACACCAGACCGTTCTCATCAACACCAGACCGTTCTCATCAACACTAGACCGTTCTCATCAACACCAGACCGTTCTCATCAACACTAGACCGTTCTCATCAACACTAGACCGTTCTTATCAACACCAGACCGTTCTCATCAACACCAGACCGTTCTCATCAACACTAGACTGTTCTCATCAACACTAGACCGTTCTTATCAACACCAGGCCGTTCTCATCAACACCAGACCGTTCTCATCAACACTAGACTGTTCTCATCAACACTAGACCGTTCTCATCAACACCAGACCGTCCTCATCAACAAAGTTCAAATGTTCATTCCATGATAACACACGAAACTTGGAATCACAGTATTATTTATTCACAAAATATAGGATAAGTTAACTTAAACTTTACTTAAGTTTGCCTCCAGTACATTGAATGTTTAACACCATATTCGATGTTGACCAGACATCGACTTGACTTGAGAATGACAATCAACTTGAGAATGGTCCAGGACGGACCGAAACGTCGTCGTCCCTTCACCTTCTAGTGTGTGGTCTGGTCAACATACTTCAGCCACGTTATTGTGACTCATCGCCCACCATATTCGAGTTTACGTATAATACATTTTATACAGGAATAACTTTTGTTGTTTCGAATCTTCAGTTGTCACGTGGACACTACATATATTTACTAAATAGAAATAACGTATTTCTAAGTTCCTATAATGTTTCTCACTTGTATGTTCTTCAAAATTACCGGTGAAGTGTAGAAGAGATAACAACATTTTGTTCAATAAACCTGCAATAAGACATTGTTATTTAATTAAATTTGTGCTATAGCGATGTTCATTTTCTTCAGAAACTGCAGGCGTATCTCCCGTGACAATAACAAGTGAACAATGGCAAGCGTGGTGTTGTCTGGCGGGGAGGTGCTGGAGCCGCCCCCCGCCACCAGGGCGGTGCTGGAGCCGCCCCCCGCCACCAGGGTGGTGCTGGAGCCGCCCCCCGCCACCAGGGTGGTGCCGGAGCCGCCCCCCGCCACCAGGGTGGTGCTGGAGCAGCTCCCCGCCACTAGGGAGGTGCCGGAGCCGCCCCCCGCCACCAGGGTGGTGCTGGAGCCGCCCCCCGCCACCAGGGAGGTGCTGGAGCCGCCCCCCGCCACCAGGGCGGTGCTGGAGCCGCCTCCCGCCACCAGGGAGGTGCTGGAGCCGCCCCCCGCCACAAGGGCGGTGCTGGAGCCGCCCCCCGCTAATAGGGAGGTGCTGGAGCCGCCCCCCGCCACCAGGCAGGTGCTGGAGCCGCCCCCCGCCACTAGGGAGGTGCTGGAGCCGCCCCCGCCACTAGGGAGGTGCTGGAGCCGCCCCCCGCCACCAGGCAGGTGCTGGAGCCGCCCCCCGCCACCAGAGAGGCCCCGGAGCCGCCCCCCGCCACCAGAGAGGCCCCGGAGCCGCCCCCCGCCACCAGAGAGACCCCAGAGCCGCCCCCCGCCACTAAGGAGGTGCTGGAGCCGCACCCCGCCACCAGAGAGACCCCGGAGCCGCCCCCCGCCACCAGAGAGACCCCGGAGCCGCCCCCCGCCACCATAGAGGCCCCAGAGCCGCCCCCCGCCACCAGAGAGACCCCGGAGCCGCCCCCCGCCACCAAAGATACCCTAGAGCCGCACCCCGCCACCAGAGAGGCGTCAGAGCCGCCCCCCGCCACCAGAGAGGCGTCAGAGCCGCCCCCCGCCACCAGAGAGGCGTCAGAGCCGCCCCCAGCCACCAGAGAGGCGTCAGAGCCGCACCCCGCCACCAGAGAGGCGTCAGAGCCGCCCCCCGCCACCAGAGAGGCCCCCGAGCCGCCCCCCGCCACCAGAGAGACCCCGGAGCCGCCCCCCGCCACCAGAGAGGCCCCGGAGCCGCCTCCCGCCACCAGAGAGGCCCCGGAGCCGCCCCCCGCCACCAGAGAGGCCCCGGAGCCGCCCCCCGCCACCAGAGAGGCCCCGGAGCCGCCCCCCACCACCTCCTCCACACCAAACGCTGCCAAGTTCTGGTCCTGTATGAGTCTCCGGCCGGAGGCTCTTAGTCGCGATGCTTTACTACACAAAAGACCATGGCGGGAGAAGCACAAAGACCCGTGCCCAAGCGTTGCCGCCACGAGAGATTGTTTGCCACTGTCGCGGAAGGACACGGTCCAAGAGCAGACTACTGAGGTCTGCAGGCCGTGGCCGGCCGTGTCGGCAGCGGCCAGGTCGGCCAGGACAACGAAAAGGAGTAGTGGCCACTCCAGCAGCAGCAGCAGCAGCAGCGCTGCTTCTCTGTGGCAGCAGCTGTGCAGCTCCCCGACTCCGACGCAGCTGTACGTGGTGCTGGCCGCCACGTCCGTGCTGGTGTACGTGACCGGGGTGACGGGGGAGTACGTGCACGACGACCTCAGCGCAGTACTGAAGAATCCGGACGTGCAGGGCACCAGGCCGCTTTGGCAGCTTTTCTTCAACGACTTTTGGGGCAAGTCCATGGCTGATCCTGCCTCACACAAGTCCTACAGACCTCTCACCATCCTCACCTTCAGGTAAGTCCAACACTTACCAAACAACCTGTATCTCTTAATACAATAGTGGTTGGGCACCATTCCTTTCCCCCGTCCCATCCCAAATCCTAATCCTTACCCTTTCCAAGTGCTATATAGTCGTAATGGCTTGGCGCTCTCTCGTGATAGTTCCCTTCTTAATACAATAGTCCAACCATTTGGCCTGGACGGTAGAGCGACGGTCTCGCGTCATGCCGGCCGGCGTTCTATCCCCCGACCGTCCACAAGTGGTTGGACACCATTCCTTCCCCCTCGTCCCATCCCAAATCCTTATCCTGACCTCTTCCAAGTGCTATATAGTCGTAATTACCTGGTGCTTTCCCCTTAATAGATCCCTTCTTAATACAATATTTACCACAATTTGCCTAACACTTTAAAACAACAAAAGGTAAATATTAGCCAAGTGCTCGCAATATTATGAGGTTCAGAGTGCCTCTTACACTGGGGAGTAGCCACCTGCAAGGCTTGAGCAGCTGTACACTGTGCTGAGCTACGAGGAGGTACCCACAGTTCTGAAAGACCAATCACTGGCCGACATTGTCTGGACTTATAATGGCGTGAGAATATTCGTTGCCCGGGTCTGACAAGCCTCATGCCCTTCACCTGCTGGTAATATAGACTGGCAAACACTCGCAACTGTTCCCTGAAGGTAATCCCAAGTCTTTTCAACTAATCAGATTACTTATCAAGTCAAGGATAATTAGACATAATAACATTTATAGAGTGCGTTCACACATGCGAGAATTATTTATTGTGAGGAGTTTATGAGGGTATTTTATTGTATATATATATATATATATATATATATATATATATATATATATATATATATATATATATATATATATATATATATATATATATATATATATATATATGTCGTACCTAATAGCCAGAACGCACTTCTCAGCCTACTATTCAAGGCCCGATTTGCCTAATAAGCCAAGTTTTCATGAATTAATGTTTTTTCGTCTACCTAACCTACCTAACCTAACCTAACCTAGTTTTTTTTGGCTACCTAACCTAACCTTACCTATATATATATGTTAGGTTAGGTTAGGTAGGGTTGGTTAGGTTCGGTCATATATCTACGTTAATTTTAACTCCAATAAAAAAAAATTGACCTCATACATAGAGAAAAGGGTTGCTTTATCATTTCATAAGAAAAAAATTATAGTAAATATATTAATTCAGGAAAACTTGGCTTATTAGGCAAATCGGGCCTTGAATAGTAGGCTGAGAAGTGAGTTCTGGCTACTAGGTACGACATATATATATATATATGTCGTACCTAATAGCCAGAACGCACTTCTCAGCCTACTATTCAAGGCCCGATTTGCCTAATAAGCCAAGTTTTCATGAATTAATGTTTTTTCGTCTACCTAACCTACCTAACCTAACCTAACCTAGCTTCTTTTGGCTACCTAACCTAACCTTACCTATAAATATAGGTTAGGTTAGGTTAGGTAGGGTTGGTTAGGTTCGGTCATATATCTACGTTAATTTTAACTCCAATAAAAAAAAATTGACCTCATACATAGAGAAAAGGGTTGCTTTATCATTTCATAAGAAAAAAATTATAGTAAATATATTAATTCAGGAAAACTTGGCTTATTAGGCAAATCGGGCCTTGAATAGTAGGCTGAGAAGTGAGTTCTGGCTACTAGGTACGACATATATATATATATATATATATATATATATATATATATATATATATATATATATATATATATATATATATATATATATATATATATATATATATTGTGCAACCAAAGTTAATTTTAACATTTTTGTTGCAATGACGTATTTTGCAAATTGCCCTGGGTGCATTTCACTGAAGCACTCATCAACATCTTCGGAGGCAGATGGAAAGTAAGAACAAATGGGTAGATGCATATCTTCCATGTTCGCTTCAGTAAGGTGAAATGTAACCCAATCAAGGGTACTGGGTAATCTTCCCTTGCATTCTCATTGGCTGGTTGAGCAGTCGGCGTGGTGTCAACAACTCTCAGTATTGTTCATGTAAAACTTAGCTAAGTATAAGCGGAGTGTTGGTCATTATATGCGTGTTTGATGTATAGTACCTCGACTATGTCTTATATCCTGTCAGTGTTGTTGGTCAGGATGTGTAGTGATGGTGTGGTTGTGTAGCAGTGTTGTAATAATCTTTGATAAAGCTTTGTTAATTGTGTTTTGTCCTGCACTGTGAAGATATGTTAATCTTGTGTTGACATTGAGATCGCTGCGTCTGCCTGTCCCCAAGGTGGGTGAGTGGACTCAGATAGTGGACGCAGATTGAGCTGAATGGACTCTCTATGAACTCTATGTACTCTATACCCAGTCACCGCTGGATATAGAGCATGCGTGTTAATTACTCACTCGTTAATTTGTCCTCAAACTCTTTAAATACAATTTTAATAACTCATTTAAATATTTTTGTAGAATCTTCTAATGAAATATGAATTCATTTAAGTTTCATTAAAGCAAGTCGCAGCTAACACAAGTAAATTGATTAAATAATTAGTGTTTCATTAAGTGATATATTTAGTAGTACTTTTTCCACATAATATTTTATTTACCGGCGTTATATATGTTTCATTTAGTGGGTAATATATTTTGTGTAAACACTTTTCACTTAATTTACGCATTTACATTTTAATTTATTTTATAAAGATTAAACATTACAATGGTGGTGAGGGAGGTGGTGGTGATAGTGGTGGTGTTGGTGGTGATAGTGGTGGTGGTGATAGTGGTGGTGTTGGTGGTGATACTGGTGGTGGTGGTGATAGTGGTGGTGGTGATAGTGGTGGTGGTGGTGATAGTGTTGGTGGTAGTGGTGGAGGTCGGCCCCCACACAGCTGTGCTAACAACTGAAACTCTCCCACATTATTTCCTCTGCCTCATCTCGCTACAACCACTTTAACGCACGCACACACACGCACACACACACACACACACACACACACACACACACACACACACACACACACACACACACAACACTATAATTAGACACTATAATTGAGAGGGCAGCCTCTTCTGCCTGTAGAAATAGATCCCACCTGCTCATCATGGGGGACTTCAATCACGGCAGGATTGATTGGGAGAACAAGGAACCGCATGGAGGCGAGGATACGTGGAGAGCCAAACTACTGGAGGTGGCGACTAGAAACTTCTTAACCCAGCATGTCAGTGAACCCACAAGGATGAGAGGAAACGACGAACCAGCGAGACTCGACCTGGTTTTCACCCTGAACGACTCTGACATAAGAGAAATCAGTTTTGAGGACCCAGTAGGAATGAGCGACCACAGTGTATTGGTGTTTGAGTACCTGATTGAAGAAGGGTTATTGAACTCGAGAAGGGATACCGAAACCAAAAGGTTAGCATACCGAAAGGGAAACTATGAGGAGATAAGAAAATGCCTAGCAGATATAGCATGGGAAACAGAGCTCAGGGAAAAGACGGCCCAAGATATGATGGAATACATCACGCAAAAATGCAAGGATGCAGCAAACAAGTTTGTCCCAGTCCAAAAGGAAAACAGTGAAATGAAGATGAGAAACCCATGGTTTAATCAGAGATGTAGGCTAGCTAAGCAGCAAAGTAAAAGGGCATGGAGAAACTATAGGAATAACAGGACACTGGAGAGCAGAGAAAGATACCAGAATGCCAGGAATGAATATGTTAGGATGAGAAGAGAGGCAGAAAGACAATACGAAAATGACATCGCAAGCAAGGCAAAGACTCAGCCTAAATTGCTGCATAGCCACATCAGGAGAAAAACAACAGTAAAGGAACAGGTTATGAAATTAAGGTTAGGGGCAGAAGGATTCACTACAAACGACAAGGAAGTGTGTGAGGAACTGAATAAGAAATTCCAGGAGGTCTTCACCTTGGAGCAAGGAGAAATCCCAGAGATAAGAGAGGGAATAGCTAACCAGGAACCACTGGAAGAGTTTGAGATTACCAGCGGGGAAGTAAGGAAGTGTTTACTAGAATTGGATGTGACAAAGGCTATAGGTCCAGATGGAATCTCCCCTTGGATACTAAAGGAAGGAGCAGAAGAACTGTGCCTCCCGCTCTCCATGGTGTATAACAAATCACTGGCAACAGGGGAACTGCCAGAAATTTGGAAAGCAGCTAACGTAGTCCCGATATACAAGAAAGGGGATAGACAGGAGGCACTGAATTACAGACCAGTGTCCCTAACCTGCATACCATGCAAGTTGATGGAGAAGATTGTGCGAAGAAAGCTAGTGGAACATCTGGAGCGAAAGAACTTTGTAACACAGCATCAACATGGATTCAGGGATGGCAGGTCCTGCCTCACAGGGTTACTTGAATTCTATGACCAGGCAACAAAAATAAGGCAAGAAAGAGAAGGGTGGGCAGACTGCATATTTTTGGATTGTCAGAAAGCCTTTGACACAGTGCCACACAAGAGGTTAGTGAAAAAACTGGAGATGCAGGCTGGAGTGAAAGGGAAGGTACTCCGTTGGATACAGGAGTACCTAAGTAACAGGAGACAACGAGTCAGTGTGAGGGGTGAGGTCTCAGATTGGCGAGACGTTACGAGTGGAGTACCGCAGGGGTCAGTCCTTGGACCTATACTGTTTCTGATATATGTAAATGATCTTCCAGAGGGTATAGAATCGTTTCTCTCAATGTTTGCCGATGATGCAAAAATTATGAGGAGGATTGAAACTGAGGACGATAGTAGGAGGCTACAAGATGACCTAGACAGACTGAGTGAATGGTCCAACAAATGGCTGTTGAAGTTCAACCCGAGTAAATGCAAAGTAATGAAACTAGGTGGTGGAAATAGGAGGCCAAACACAGGATACAGAATAGGAGATGAAGTACTTAATGAAACGAACAGAGAGAAAGATCTAGGAGTTGATATCACACCAAACCTGTCTCCTGAAGCCCACATAAAAAGAATAACGTCTGCGGCATATGCGAGGCTGGCTAAC